TACCAGTACATCCAAACAGACTAGTAATCATAATATAATAATGATGCATTGATTTCAGATAGCACTCAATTCACTCCATACACAGCGGCGGTAAACGACTACACTAGCCACAGCTGCCCTGGGGCACATTGACAGAAGCGAGGCAACCATTATGTGCCATGAGCCCCTCCCATCACCACCAACCATTCACACACACACACACACCAGACTCATTCTAGGCAATGCAAGTAGACTTTTAGACTTAAAGACAGACTTTATTGATCCACAGGGGACATTGCGTTGTCACAACAGCTCACACAGTATTTCACAATAATAAATACAATTAATAATAAGATAATGTTGTGAGAAAAAATCTGTTGATATACAATACGTACAAGGTGTATTGTGAAGTGTATTGCCTGAAGTGTGGGTAAAGTGTTAGCTGCAGCCGCCCCACTGTGGCACCAATCACAGGCACCGGTCTCCCATCACAGAGCTAACCAGGCCCTCCCCTACTTAGCTTCAGAGGTGTGACAGGATGTGGCTTTCTCATGCAGGGGACATGAAATTGAAACTTGTATCTGGATTGACCAATGGGATATTACATTATAAAGGATACCGCTGGTTACTGAGATTACTTTTTTTTTTTAAGACAATAGGAGCCAGAGTTTGAGTTTGAGCAAATCTTGGTCCATGAGTATGAATATGAATGTGAGAGATTTTCTTCAGACTATATTATCAGCCAACAGATGCCCGTAGTCTGCATGCCAGGCAGGTGACGCTGGATCACCTTGATGAAAATTGCCCCAGTAGGTGAAAGGTGCCGCTGTTGATTACATTAATATTTCCTGTCTGAATTGCCTGCCATTACGACTTAATCACCAAATGTCTGTGATTAAAACACCCTCCGTTGGACACGCACACACACTTCTCCAGGTATTCCACTTCATATACGTTCGATCCTCCCGGGAACAGTCGTCCTAATGGCCCCGCGCTCAAGTCCCCAACCGCGATAAGTGGGTTTTAATTAGCAGAATATGGAAATTTTCAATAAATAATTAGAATAACCTGCAACATTGTGGTTGTTCTCTGTGGAAAGCGGGAGTTTTATAGTCTGACTCTCGCCCAAGCCCCTGCGATCCAAGATGGCGCCCTATTCAAATGAATGGTTGTGCTCAGTGGCGCTTTGTGACGGCATGGGGGCTGAAAAGATTAGCGGAAGTCGCCTGGAACTTGCAAAGATTTATGGGAAACTCGCCTGTATTTGGGCATCGTCTGGTCCTCCCGGTTCTGCGCAGTGGATGATCTCCCATAATGCGTGTGTGGGTCTCACGCACGTGCACAGAGGGGCTTGGCTGCGCTCTGACCAATCAGAGCAGTTCATCAGAGCGGGAGTTAGAGCGGGAGCCAGACGAGCAGAGTTTGTGGCACTAAAGTGTGGATTTAAAGAAAACCGAAGAATTTAAGAAGAAAAAAAGTTCAGGATGACAAGGGACACTAAAATCCCACAAAATCCGATCTTTATGAAAGCTGTAGGTTCTCTGTCAGCTGAGGTCGCGCTGTTTTCATTTACATTGAGTTCTATAAGGACAATTTCTGGATAGCCCGCGTGAATTTAGTCTGGTCTAGTCTGCAGTACCGCGAGAATCCCCCGAGTACATGTTATTCAGCTCCAAGGTAGTAATACCCTATCCAGTTATTATAATAGATCCATGCTCTCGCCAGACCCTTGTAGTTCCGCCATGCTCCACCAGAGGCGTTTGGCTGAACCGCATGGGTCTGGTATCAAGCGCATACCAAACTCCTTCAGCAGATCAGAAAATAATCGACCAATCAGGATCGCCGGTGTTATGTCGGGTTTGCAAAGCCTTCTCAAGCGTGTCTCATGCTGCAGCGAAAGGAATCCAAGATGGCGGACATGAAGTCCCTGAATTTTAATAAAAGTTTAAATACGAACGAATTAAGACACGGATGTCACTTTTAATGCAATATGAGGCGAGATGTTGATGGTTCCATGTTGTTATTTGTGTTTTAAGAGTCAAATGTTTGTGTAATGTTTGGTTTAAGCACTGGTTTAAGTGTTCCTGTTTACAACACTGTGCAGCAGGGTTGCCAGGTTGGGTGGTTTCCTGCATACTTTTTTTCCAGAGACTTGTAGGTAATAAATAAACAAAAAGACAAACAGAATTATGATAGCCCAAGTTGATTACATTACGTTTTTTGGCCCAAAAAAATTCTGGATGATTTTTTTGGGCATTCTTGTGGGTTTTTGGTTGGAAAATCTTGCCGGCATTTGGCAACCCATGGGAGTCGTGTGCTTCGATGTGAGTGGTTGAAGGAAGACGTCATTCAAGATAACGGACAAGTGGTTTATCCAATCACATACAAGGATTTTTTTTTTTAGAAGGACCCGCCTTCTGAAATCCAACTGCTATGGAGGAGGCCCAGACCAGTGTGGGCGGGTCCAGGTGTTCTGTCGAGATGATCTGGCTCAGCTGTTAATGATGTAATGCAAACCTGCCCATGCGCGTCTCACGGCAACCGAAGCAAACCAAGATGGCGGACATGTAGTCCGCGAATTGCTTTAAAAGTTAAATACGAACGAGTTAAGACAAGAATGTCACTTTTAATGCAATTTGAGGCGAGATGTTGATGGTTCCGTGTTGTGATATGTGTGTTTTAAGAGTAAGAGTTTCGTGTAAAGTTTGTTTTAAGCAGTCCACTGATCCTGTGAAACTACACTGCTGCTGTGTGATCGCTGTCCCTGAGTTGACTGCTGCATACGTCAGGCCCATGACGCGTCCTGTGACTGGTCTGTCGGGTTGATAATGGAAATAATAAATAAAATTTTATGCATGTATCATACTGTATTCAATATGATTAACAATAGTGTGTTCAAACAAAATATTTAATTAGATCGAGTTTTTTCCCCATTCTGGCGGGTTTGTGCGCATGCGCAAATCAGATTTGGGCACACTAGCAGTGTCGTTTCACAGGAGCAGTAGACTGCTTAAAACAAACTTTACACAAAACTCTTACTCTTAAAACACACATATCACAACGCGTAACCATCAACATCTCGCCTCAAGTTGCATTAAAGGTGACATTCGTGTCTTAATTCGTTCATATTTAACTTTTAAAGTAATTCGCGGACTACATGTCCGCCATCTTGGTTTGCTTTGGCTGCCGTGAGACGCGCAGCGCTGGTTTGCATTACATCATTAAAACTACTATATTCAGGAAATATAAGAGTGTTACATGAGAATAAAATCTGGATTTAAATTGATGGTTTGTTTTTGAAGAAATGGAAAGTAAGGTGTGATACATAAAGTGTAAGGTAAAGTATTGTGTGTAAGGTATGTATTATGTAATATATGTGTAAATGTAAAAGGGATGTGTAAAAATCATTTGGAGCAGTTAAATCTTTCAGATGCAATGGACAACTCTTAACCATGAATAGCACATGACCAAGATCTATAGTGTAGGAAAACAAGTTGTCATGTTGTGATTGCCATTACTGCTTAAACAGATACAAGTAAATCAGAGCAGACGAGATATGGTTGGATTGGCGGGCTCCCTCTTGCCAAATGGCCTCAACACCTCGTTTTTAACGCACCACACAGCAAGCATATACAACGCAAATTTTCCTACATTTCCATTGGTCAGGGATGTTGGGAGTGGGGCGGGTCTCTCGACTGGCTCATTCTACCCACTGTTTTTAATGCACTGCACTATGTAGGGTCTACATACATAACTATGTTAACATTAAATAAACAGCTTTGGGTAAAAATGGCAGTGACAACAAGACTTAAGAACATCATTGGTGCTAAATCAGCATTTAAAATTACTATTCATGGAGACGAGTGTAAATTGTATATCTGAGAGAAATATGCCTGTATATCATTTGAACTCCTGTAAAGAGAAAAGTTTGTAACAAGGGGTAGGAAGCATATGTTTCACTTCTACCTACTCCTTTTCGAATTGTGCATATATATGTTTATATGTTTCTTCTTTTTTTTAATTTATTTTTTATTGCGCATGTAATTCGAAATAAACACACTACTACTTTACTGCCCATCATGCGTCACTTTACTTCACTGTACTGCTGTCACCTTACATTGTGTGCACCATGTGCACTTGTATATTGTAAATAGTAACTGTATTAACTATTTTAAATTTAAATTTATTCTTTAGAAGTGTTTTTTATTCTTATTTTTATTATCTCTTTCTGACTGTTGCACTGAGCCAAAGCAATTTCCAAGTCTGTGACCTCCTGTTACTTACGTGGCAATAAAAATGATTCTGATTCTGATTGTCCTGCTGGAAGGTGAACCTCCGTCCTAGCCTCAAATCACGCACAGAGTGGTACAGGTTTTGCTCAAGAATATCCCTGTATTTAGCTCCATCCATCTTTCCCTCAACTCTGACCAGTTTCCCAGTCCCGGCTGCTGAAAAACATCCCCACAGCATGATGCTGCCACCACCATGTTTCACTGTGGGGATGGTGTTCTTTGCGTGATGTGATGTGTTGGGTTTGCGCCAGACATAGCGTTTTCCTTGATGGCCGAAAAGTTCAATTTTAGTCTCATCAGACCAGAGCACCTTCCTCCATACATTTTGGGAGTCTCCCACATGCCTTTTTGCAAACTCCAAACGTGCCATTTTGTTTTCTGCTGAAGAAGATTAAGATGTGACTGGTACATGACGAGTGAACATGTCCCTGACTCTGATCAGAGACAGTGAACAGTGACAGGTTTGATCCTGAAGGTTCTGTGTTTGTCCAGTTCTGTCCAAGGTCAATGTATTTATTCAGCTTATATTTCATAACAGTCTCTAGATGCCCTTATATGGACATAGCAGGTTGTCATGGTGATTGCAGAGGTTACCATCTGGAAGGTTATCATTCCAGAACGAGGTAATCTTGGAATTCCATGGTAACCATGCAATGACATCAACAGTTCCATAAGTCTGTGAGTCAAGTCAGTCAGTCAGTCAGTCTTCAGCGAACAGACACGTTTAACATGGACTGGAATGAGCTACAGAACCGGGTTCTCTCCCAACAAAGGGACTTGATGAGCGCTTATCGCGACGCCCAGGTAACTGCATCTTTCACACCTAGATGTTTTGGTCCGAGACGTCAAATACATTCATATCTGTTTTATGTTATATATAGTGTTTGTGAAATGATTAGTGATTGCATTACTGCGATGGTAGTTTATGATCCAGTAAAGTGCTAACATTTGTCAAACCAGACTCGTGGTTAGGGTCAGGGACATGGTACGTTTCAGAACAGCTGAGGGTAATGGTAAATAAGAGATGGAATAAGTCAGATTAACCACAGAGGAAGTGTGGACCTCTGAAGTTGAGCAGTCGTCTCCAGGTTTTGTGGGTAGAAAAAACACTTTACTGGTCTCTGCTGCAGAATCCTTCACATTTTCACATAAATCACAGGTTTGTTGTTCAGTAGTAAGTGCTCGGTGTTCAGAGGGGGCAGAGAGCAGAGCCAAACAAATATATTCTGATTACTAAAGCATCTTCTGTCTTACGTTTCCCGGCGCCGGCACTTGGGAACACTTTGCAAATGTATTTAGGGACAGAATCCTGAATATCAGCCATAGATGTGTGTTGTAATGTTGTGTGACATCACTGTGTCCTGAACACACCGCACATCGAATCATTCTAAACTGTAAAAATGCATCACAGGGTCAGAAGCACTTTGTTTTGGCACTTTTCAATATTGTTCCTAATAAAAGATAAAACACACACATACACGACTAGAAGTGACTTGACGTTTGAAAGCAGCAGTGTTCTGAGTAGCACCAGAAGAAAAGGAAACTAAATACTGTAAAGTAGGACATTTCCTCCTCAACACTGCACACACACAACTAGATTTCATAAAGATCGCCCGGGCTTTAGAGACGGTGACATCACCACTTTTCATTTGCTGAGATCTAGTGCCTTAAACAAATAACTCATAAACCCCAAAACCTTTTCACATTGTCTCTCGTTGCGACCGCTAAATGTATCATTGGGTCAACTGCATAAGGTATTCTGTAAAAAGGTTGTGAACCACTGCTCTACTGCACAGTCCCTCTGTACTAACTGTGTGACTGTGTCCACAGGCTGCCAGGGTCATGGAGGTGCACAAGGCCCAGGACCTGCACATGGCTCGGGTCACTCGTCAGGCCGATCCCCTGCTGTCTCGACAACATGCTCGAGCCAACGCAGTGATGCACAGGAGTGAGAGATCTGTAGACAGCTGCATCTCAGAGCAGTCCAGATCCTCCCCATGGACACCTCCCTTCACCCCTCCACCATCACCAACATCAAGGTAATCACATGGCTAACCTACTACTATTGTCTGCTATAGAAAAAACAATCACTTTGAATGTTTTACCTCCACAAACGCAGTGATGGGTACGGCAGCTGCTGTTCGGACGAGCTGAGATCGTCACCATGGACTCCTCACGGCACTCCCAGTCCATCAGAGAGTCTCAGTGTAGACAGCCGCCTCCCAGAGGCGCTGAGGGGACTACTGTCCTGGAGCCCAAGTCCTCCACCAGCTCCCCACTGCTCTGTCCCAGACAGCCTCAGACCCGACAACCACACCCCAGAGGAGCTGAGGAGACTGCCGCCCTGGACCCCAAGTCCTCCACCTGCTCCCAGAAGGCGTCTCCCTCAAGGGAATGGATCGTACATTCCCAGACTCTTGGCAAACAGAGACGGTTAGTTACAACTATTTTGATGATTCACAACACAGACAGTCCTACAGACACAGTCCTACAGACTCCATAATTCCATATTGTCTACTGATGTTTTAATCTTAACTCTAACATAATTTTACATATTTCCGTAACGAAGGTTACCAAAGTCTATTTTCTTGAATTCATTTTGTCATCACATCGTTTTTTTGCTCTCACAGTGAAACGTTTGGCAAACGGGCAGGAAGTGTTCACCGCCAAGAAACAGGTGGATGAACTGAAGGAAGAATTCCAGCGGATTCTAAGACGCAACAGTTACCGGACAATCACATGTAAGTTGGTCTGTTACCTTTGTTTCTCTTGTAAAGAACATATATGACTGTAATAACATGTGTCTGTCTCCACAGGCAGGAGAGCGGTCCACCACATGTTGGATCAGGTTCTGGAAGACCTGATGCAGACTGTCCGGAGAATGCAAAGCTCCCGCCACCACCAGAGCTTTGCTCCTGCCCCAATCCGTCCCACGGTGTTTGTCCCACGGCCCCTGACCACACCGGCCCCAAAGTCCCGCCGCCGAATCCGCGTAACTCCCGTCCACAGAGGAGTTCCATTGAGATCCACAATGCAGGTTCTGGAACACAGTGGCGGCCGGCCAATAGAGGGCGCTAGGGCGCCGCCCCACCACTCACAACTTGCCATGTTACCTTGAGTAAAACGTTAAAAAAATAATAACATTAAAATATTTCGAAATTTATGTGTGTTTTATTTCAGATGTGGAAGAAATACTTTATAGTTTATGCTGAGTTGGATTGATTAAGCTCATCAGCGTTGTCTGTGTCGGACTGAGGACGTATTTCCGCCTCAGGGCGCAAAAGATTGCGCCCTGAGCCGTCTATGGACTCTCGTTAAAAGTTGTACATGCGCAGTAGCTCCTCTTCAATGCAAGAGATAAGACGATTTGGGGGCGCAGGAGAAGTGCGCCCTGAGGGGGCGGGATCGCCCCCGAGACCTGTACTGTCTGTCTGTGACGTCCGTTTACAGTGATTGACAGGTCAAGCTGTGGGAGTTTGAGACGAACGTAAAGAGACGCAAAATGGAGAACGAGAAAAAGAATAATTCAGTTAGATCACTCAAAACAATACCGTTTGAGAGAAGATCATACCAGGAGAAGGTTGAGGTTAAAGAGCTTGGACCTGATCAGCCAAATATTACCATTAGTCAGCAGTCCAGGACCTGGTTCAGCGCCAAATCTTGGCTAGCAGCATGTAGCGAGGCTAATGCTTTATTTTGCTTTCCATGCCTCTTGTTTCAAACATCAGGATCTGACAGCAATAAAAATAAAAATTGTAAAGCACAAAACAACAACTGTTTCAGAGACAAGTTGGACTTAGGGCGTTTCCAGAACATTCAAAAGTGAACCAAAGCATTTAGCGAGGATTTGTATTACTACATTTGCTTTTTGTTCTTTGTTCAGTCTCTCAGGATAAGTAGAATCAGCACATCCCCTCATTAAACATAATGTCTCTCCGAAATGTTATTGTACTATTAAGCATTTTCCATATTAGGCAATGATACTTATCTGTAGCAACCTGACGAGTTTATACATTGTTACAAAATGTGAGAAATATCAAGTGGGTGATACATGTCAAATCCATTGGAAAAATTGATTAAAAATTGCTCAAATTTTGCTAAATGTATTGGCAAAACTTGATCTTAGACACTCAGAATGTACTCAAATCAAGATAAATACACTATAAGCAATCATTACTTCATATTCTACAGTGTTTTTGCAGTGTATGTGTTTATGCTTTCAAGAATTCAGTTTGAGGTCAACAAAGTCAGATGCAAAATAAGAAAGACAAAGATTTCAATGGAAAAACTGTGCATTAAGATAAAAAAACACCTTGATGTAGGCATTTGCGACCTCATGTTTTGCAGTGTAGGGAGGATCTAAAGTATCTCTGCATTTCCAACCATCAACTCTCCTCAAAAAATAAATGCATAATGGTTATAATTTTCAAACGCGGCGATTTCAAAGGAAGGAAAAGGAGTGAGCGCAAAGCCGGGTCTCTCCTGCGAGCTTTTCTCAGCGCTTCAAACAGACCTGCTTTGGATGCACACTGTATATCCATAATTATCCCCAGCAGATGACCCAGGAAATGAGTCCGTGTCCCAATCACCACCAGAGCCACATCCGTTCAGCTTCTATTTTTTTCTGTCTCTGATTTTTCTGATTATCCACAAATAATGGATTGGATTTTTATACAGAGATGTTTAACTCTGCTTCCCACGGAGACGTTGTGTTCGCTGCTCTCTCCACTCTCGGCTGCTGCAGGCTGTCATTGACAAACAGCAGGTAACAACAGGTAATTCTGCCACTCACACTTTAAAACAACGGTCCACCTGCAAACCCTCATGACTGCACCGAGCCACAGTGCTGTGCAACCACCCCGACTGAAAAGAATCATTACAACTTGGACTTTTTGTTAGTTTAAAACAACGCAAGTCTCTTTCTTATTGTGTGTGTATCTTGAAAGTACAATGAGACACACTAAGCACCAGCCCCTCACTGATTCTCCTGCAGGTGGTGAGTCCACAGGAGCTGAGATATTTCAGCGGGGGCTTCAGGCAAAGTGGGGTTAAGTGTCTTGCCCAAGGACACAACTCTATCTATCTATATACTCTCTCTCTCTCTCTCTCTCATATATATACAGTATGTATTTCACATATTTACTGGTTTATGCTTTTTGCAATTCTACAGCATTGCCCCCCCCCCCCCCCGTCACTAAAGTAACTGACCAGTCTCTTTAATATCAGTGTCACTAATGTAACTGACCAGTCTCTTTAATATCAGTGTCACTAATGTAACTGACCAGTCTCTTTAATGTCAGTGTCACTAAAGTAACTGACCAGTCTCTTTAATATCAGTGTCACTAATGTAACTGACCAGTCTCTTTAATGTCAGTGTCACTAAAGTAACAGACCAGTCTCTTTCATGTCAGTGTCACTAAAGTAACAGACCAGTCTCTTTCATGTCAGTGTCACTAAAGTAACAGACCAGTCTCTTTCATGTCAGTGTCACTAAAGTAACAGACCAGTCTCTTTAATGTCAGTGTCACTAATGTAACTGACCAGTCTCTTTAATGTCAGTGTCACTAATGTAACTGACCAGTCTCTTTAATGTCAGTGTCACTAATGTAACAGACCAGACTCTTTAATGTCAGTGTCACTAATGTAACTGACCAGTCTCTTTAATGTCAGTGTCACTAATGTAACTGACCAGTCTCTTTAATGTCAGTGTCACTAATGTAACTGACCAGTCTCTTTAATGTCAGTGTCACTATAGTAACTGACCAGTCTCTTTAATGTCAGTGTCACTAAAGTAACAGACCAGTCTCTTTCATGTCAGTGTCACTAAAGTAACTGACCAGTCTCTTTAATGTCAGTGTCACTAAAGTAACTGACCAGTCTCTTTAATGTCAGTGTCACTAAAGTAACTGACCAGTCTCTTTAATGTCAGTGTCACTAAAGTAACTGACCAGTCTCTTTAATGTCAGTGTCACTAATGTAACAGACCAGACTCTTTAATGTCAGTGTCACTAATGTAACTGACCAGTCTCTTTAATGTCAGTGTCACTAATGTAACTGACCAGTCTCTTTAATGTCAGTGTCACTAATGTAACTGACCAGTCTCTTTAATGTCAGTGTCACTAAAGTAACAGACCAGTCTCTTTAATGTCAGTGTCACTAATGTAACTGACCAGTCTCTTTAATGTCAGTGTCACTAAAGTAACAGACCAGACTCTTTAATGTCAGTGTCACTATAGTAACAGACCAGTCTCTTTAATGTCAGTAGATGAATAACGACGCCGTGAGTACAGCTGGTCATTTATTATCTCATCCTTGGCTCGCTTCATTCGTGGTCGTGTTGTTCCAGGAAGTCGGTGGCTCCTGTCCCGTGGTCGATGGGTCCGATCGCCGCCATGTGCAGAGGCAGAATGTTCTGGTCCAGACACATGAGCTCGGTCTGGAGCCACTTTCTCTTCTCCACCTCCCTCTGCAGATACACTCTCATGGCGTCCATCTTGCCTTGCACTTTCATCATTCGGCCCAGTACCAGCGCGATCAGCGTGAGGCAGGTGTGCGCCTGGTCCAGACACAGCTCCTTCTGCGGCTCCTCTAAGTTGTTTGTGTTTTCCAGAGATCTGGCCTCACAGTTGTCGATCTGTGCAGACAGTCTTTGTAAGACTTGGATCACGTCGTCCATCAGCCTCCAGCTCCTCTGCTCCTGGGCTTTGTGGATTCGGTGAAGTGTCTTCCTCATGGCTCTGCTGGTCGTGGCCCGCTGCCTCTCAGAGGCGTCTCTCATGTTCTTTAAGGAGAGTCGGACCTTCCCCCGCAGAGCTGTGGCCGTCTGCAGCTCTGTGTCACTGGCTCTCTGCAGCGCGTTACAGTCTGAGGTCCAGGTGTCGTAGCTGATGTGGGACCGTCTGGGACCGCTCTGTGGACCCTGCGGACTCTGTGGACCCTGAGGACCCTGAGGACTCTGTGGACCCTGCGGACTCTGCGGACTCTGTGGACTCTGTAGCACATTACTATGTGTCATACAGTTAGCCGTTAGCATAATGGCTTGGGATATCTGTTGATAATCAGCCAGAAGTTGCCGATGGAGGTTTTCTAATGAGCTAGATTGTCCATGAAGAAGACGGAGGTGGTTTTTCAGCGTGTGGATGATGTCATTGGTCAGATGTTGCTCATTCTTCAGCTCTGCGTTAACGTCTTCTCGCTCAAAGTGCAGAGAGTCTCCTTTAAACTTCACACACTTGCTGATGAATTCTGCATAGGTTTTCCGTTCCTCCAGATGTTCGGTGACATCACATTTGAGCTGCTCCGTCTCCGACACCTCTCGCTCCACGCGGCTCATGTTGAGCGCCGTCAGCGACTGCAGCTTTCCCAGCTCCAGGTGGCGTGTGGCGAGGTTGTCAGAAAGTAAAGAGGACAGGTCCACATCCAGGACACAGGACGCCTCCTCCCGCAGGCTCAGGACCGGAGCGCCACCTTCAGGAAGGCTCTGGAAGTACACGGCCTCCTGCTGTGTTCTGTGCAGTGGGCAAGCTCTGCTGCGAACAATGAAAAAGTCTGATTAAAAGCCACGTATTAAAGCTGGGATTCTTAAGTTTCCACTCAGCCAATCAGCCCTCAGCCAGCCAGCTCTCAGCCTAATGTGTCAAATAGTGAGTCACAGGGTTCAAAAGAGTTTTCTAGTAAGAAAAATACAGAACCTTATGTTGGGACCAGTGGGGGTGGGTTTTTGAGCGGGTCCCAGCTCAAAAGTGGCCAAAATGACGTGCGCTGACATGCTGCAATACCACCCCGGGCCGATGGGGGTGGACCCAGAAGTAGAATTAGCCAATGCTAACATATAGCATTGGCTGACCTCTGGAAAACGTCTTTACAGGATGGACCAAAAGTTGTCTCTTGGCCCAAAGCTCCGTTCCACATGTGTGTCAATGCTGAGGGGAGTGAATTTTTTTGGTCCACTCTAGTTTAGTCTCTGTGAATTTTGAAGTCTCTCGTTCAAATGAATGGAGCTCTCGCAGCTGACGCATGCACAGATGCGTTTTTTCACAATTTTCTTGTGGGCGGGACCACTCGCGGCCATTTTGGATAGCTCCAGTAGAGCACATTTTTTGGCCCATTAGTTAGAACGGCGGAGATAGGCGTGACTCTGTCCGTTAATATATACAGTCTATGGTTGGGATCAACAATTATCAAGTACCTCAGCTTTAAAGGACTCCAGGTCCCGCCCCATCTGCACTAAAACCTCTGTTTCAAACTGCTGCTGCTGTGATGTCACAGTCACAGATTCTCCTAAAGTGGATAATTTCTCACCTCATGTTGTGTTTCTTGAGCCGGAAAAAGTACTTCTGAATTCAAAACACAACAACACTAAGGCTGCTATGGTTTGAACGGTTTCCATGGCAACAGCTGCTGTTTCTGTAGACTGTGTTCTGCACACAGGTGCTGTTTCTGTAGACTGTTCTGCACACAGGTACCTGTGGTCCCAGACGATACTCACTGTACCTGTGGTCAGACGATACACTCACTGTACCTGTGGTCAGACGATACTCACTGTACCTGTGATCAGACGATACTCACTGTACCCCCCCCCCCCCCAAAAAAAGTCATTTACTGTATTTAGAACAAACCTTTGAAAAATCAGTTTAATAAGGAATAACTCTTCAGCTTCATATGTTTCATTCTGACAGGACAGAAGCAAATGATAACGTTATAAAACAGCAGAGAGTTTTATAAAAGTAGCTGATACACGTCCAAAAACATTTGTCATTTGCTCAAAGAAGAAACTGCTGCGATGATGTCACACATGACTCAGTGTTGTGGAGGTTGAACTGATAGTTTTGAGAACCTTCATTCTGATCCAAGAAAATCCAAAAAACTGTCAATGACTCTTTCTAACATGAATACATAATATACACAAGCTGCCAAAATGAAATATAAAGTAACAAAAGATTCTTGTCCTTGATCATTTGGTTTATCTTAGTTTTTCTCAGTCGCTTTGGTGCATTTCTTTTGCAGTTTGTACAAATTGTTCTGAGACATGCACTAACTGTTGTGCAAATGTGAAGAGTGATGTGAGAAATGCACCAAAGCCACTGAGAAAAACTATAGGCAAGGCAAGGCAAGGCAAGTTTATTTATATAGCACAATTCATACACAAGGCAACTCAAAGTGCTGAACAAAACAAGAAAGCATTAAAATCCTAAATAATCACAGAACATTAAAAAGAAAGATAAAAATATAAAATCCCTCAGTTGTATGCACAGCTAAACAGAACTGTCTTTAACCTGGTTTTAAACATTGTCAGAGAGGAGGCCTGTCTCACATCTTCAGGAAGACTGTTCCAGGTTTTAGCAGCACGAATCTGAAAAGCAGCCTCCCCATGTTTAGTTCTGACTCTGGGCACTAACAGGAGTCCAGTCCCTGTGCTCCTCAGAGTCCCAGCAGGAGTCCAGTCCCTGTGCTCCTCAGAGTCCCAGCAGGAGTCCAGTCCCTGTGCTCCTCAGAGTCCCAGCAGGAGTCCAGTCCCTGTGCTCCTCAGAGTCCCAGCAGGAGTCCAGTCCCTGTGCTCCTCAGAGTCCCAGCAGGAGGCCAGTCCCTGTGCTCCTCAGAGTCCCAGCAGGAGTCCAGTCCCTGTGCTCCTCAGAGTCCGGGCTGGTTCATATGGGACTAACATGTCACTAATATATTTTGGTGCGAGGCCATGGACTTGTACACAAGCAGAGCTGTTTTAAAGGAATAGTTCACCGTTTTTACATACTGACATATGTTCTTACCTTACCTTAGACTAGTTAATCTGTACCTGTCTGGTCTTAGTCCGTGCGCTCTGTCATGCAAACGGAGCAAAAACGGGAGCACAAACGCAGCCTCCTCTGTATACTGTATAGTACCCAAAAGGTAGCTCCCGCTAGAAGCTACCAAACTCTTCCAAGTGTTCCCTATTAAATGTATATAGTTACGTGACGTGTTACACTGCAAAGTATAGTAACACAGTATTGTGAGGCGTAGTAATCTGAGGAGCGCTACGTCCGCGCACTAACGGAGAGAAGTTAGTGCGCGGATGTAGCGCTCCTAACTTCTCTGCGCACTAACTTCTCTCCGGAGACTTCTCTCTCGCTGCTACTGTGTGTACTACAAGTCACGCTGCTTCTATTGACGGAAGTGAGCGAGAGAGAAGTCTCCGGAGAGAAGTTAGTGCGCGGACGTAGCGCCCCTCAGATTACTACGCCTCACAATATAGTACCCGTTTTATCCGCTGAGAAAATCGACTGTTACATTTCTGTGTTACTATACTTTGCAGTGTAACACGTCACGTAACTATATACATTTAATAGGGAACACTTGGAAGAGTTTGGTAGCTTCTAGCGGGAGCTACCTTTTGGTGCTACAAAATATACAGAGGAGGCTGCGGTTGTGCTCCCGTTTTTGCTCCGTTTGCATGACAGAGCGCACGGACTAAGACCAGACAGGTACAGATTAACTAGTCTAAGGTAAGGTAAGAACATATGTCAGTATGTAAAAACGGTGAACTATTCCTTTAAAGTCTATTCTGAGCCACAGGAAGCCCGTGCAGAGACCTGAGAACTGGACTAATGTGGTCGTACTTCCTGGTTCTAGTCAGGACTCGAGCTGCTGCATTTTGAATGTACTGCAGCTGTTTTACAGCCTGTTTGGACAGACCTGTGAGCAGGCCATTGCAGTAGTCTAACCTACTGGAGACAAATGCATGGATAAGAATCTCCAAGTCTGCTTTAGACACTATGTTTTTGATCCTGGCAATGTTTTTTAGATGGTAAAAAGCTGCTGATGTTACTGATTTGATGTGGCTATTACAGTTTTTTCCTGTTGCTTGAACACAGTTTGCAAAATTTCGCTCAAAGTCCCAAAACTCTACACACACGAGAACCTGACACAACACTGGGACATAAACCAGACACATCTGTGTCAAAATGAAACTCCTCTATCAAAACTCAAACTCTGCTCTCAAAATTAAACAATCATTCGTCAAAATGAAACTCTGAGGACAAAATGACAAACACTTCACGCATCACGTGAACACACTTTCAGATTGAAAGCAACACACTACAGTACTTTATATAAAACACTGCAGTCATTTTCACTGTTTTTATTCTGTTTATCAGCTCAATGGAACTGTTTTTGTTCTCTGTAACACTGAAAGGTTACACATAATATAAACTCAATACAGTACAGTACTACAGTATACTTTACAGTACAGTACTACAGTATACTTTATAGTGCAGTAATAATAATAATAATAATGCATCGGTTTTATATAGCGCTTTTCTGGACACTCAAAGACGCTTCACATGTGTCATTATTCATTCACTCCATACACGGTGGTGATAAACTACTGCTGTAGCCACAGCTGCCCTGGGGCACACTGACAGAAGCGAGGCAACCAGTATGCGCCATCGGCCCCTCCGACCACCACCAACCATTCATACACACACCAGACTCATTCTAGGCAATGGGGGTGAAGTGTCTTGCCTAAGGACACAACGGCAGTTTGGCACTTTACAGCCGCAGCCGCCCCACTGTGGCTGGTGTTCCCAGAGGTTAAGTGTCTTGCCAAGGACACAACGACAGTAGTCAGTGGGAGTCGATGGTGAAAGTCTTGAGCGGGGCTTGAACCCACGACCTTCTGGCTCAAAGGCCAAAGCTCTACCAACTGAGCTACTGCCGCCTAAGTACACTTAGGCGGCAGTACTACAGTATACTTTACAGTACAGTACTACAGCATACTTTACAGTACAGTACTACAGTATACTTTATAGTGCAGTACTACAGTATACTTTACAGTACAGTACTACAGCATACTTTACAGTACAGTACTACAGTATACTTTACAGTACAGTACAATTGTGTCAATGCAGTAAAACAAAAAAACTCTAATGTAAAACTAAGCAGTTGTGCGTGTGTGGATTATGGATCATGGTTCATGGTCTAACTATTTCCACAAAGGCAAGTTCATGTTGTTGGTGAACAGTTGCCGACCACCTCCGCATGTTCTTTTAGTCATTTTGTATAAATATGAAACCACAAATTGTTACTATAGGTTTAGTTTTTTTACAGTACAAATGTACACAGTACTGTTATATCTCAGTTTTATGTACTTTACCGTCTTGTATGTTTCACAAAACTACATTTTTTTCAAAAAGGAGCAATAGCCAACTTGCAAAACAGTACATGTGATACAGAACAGTACTGTAAATACTGTAGATACAGTCTGCAGTAGAGACTTACAGTACATGTGATACAGTACTGTAAATACTGTAGATACAGTCTGCAGTAGAGACTTACAGTACATGTGATACAGTACTGTAAATACTGTAGATACAGTCTGCAGTAGAGCGTTGGAAACATGTAGGTCCTGAAGGACCTTGTCTGGACTCTCTGCTTCCCTCAGTTTGAGGCAGTGGTTTATCACAAGATCCACAAAAGTTGCTCTAATGTCATAAAAATATTGTGTTGTTTTAATCCTCTTAAACTCCTTGTCTTCCTCTGTCTTGCTCTTCCTGCCTTCAAACTTGCAAAGTTCTGAAAATGGCTAAACTGAAGCCTGTTTGTGTCTGTCTGATGTGTGTTGCATTTTGTAATTCAGTGTTTTCTGGTGTGTGTCTCAGTGTTTTTAGTCACACAATGTGTTTGGTATTTTGAATAGATGTGTTTTCCCAACGATAACACAGGATTGCAAATATGCACAAAGTGTCTTATGTATGACACAGTGTGTAGTGAGCAGGAGAAAGTGTGTTGCAGAAAGAGAAAGTGTGTTGCAAAAGGAGAAAGTGTGTTGTAGAAATGAAAGTAGAGTGCAAAGCAGTACTTTTGTTTAAGGAATGGTCAGTCTGTGTTTTAGGTTTAGAACAAAAGCTTCAAGTTCTGCAACTTTGGTCTAAGCGTCTGTCTATAGTGTTCAAGCAACAGGAAAAAACTGTAAAATTTAAGTCTGAGTCCAGTATTACCCCTAGATTTCTGACCTTGTTTGAAGGTTTTAGGGAGAGAGACTGTAGATGACAGATGACGCTCTCTCTTTGTTTCTGGGGACCAAAGACAATCATTTCAGTTTTGTCTGCGTTTAGCTGAAGGAAGTTGTTTTGCATCCACTCACTGATCTGTTGGATACAGTGAAGGAGTGAGTCCACTGTTCCATGTTCTCCTGCAGTCAGTGAGACATAGATCTGAGTGTCGTCTATAACAATGTCATTTTTTATCAATTATTTTATTTTAATTACATATACAAACAAAGCTTTTACATAACGCACATACAGAGGAGCGATACAGAAGGGCAGGGGCTGGA